CCTCAAACCTTTGAGTATAAATAAAACGCCTTTTATTTATCACCATATTGATTACTCACTATTTGTCGTTTCGGGTAATCAACTTCTTACTTGAATTATTACACTTGTCCCATGCACCTAGCATGCACACAATGTTTACCTATAGTTCTTACTTTTGTGAAATAGACAAATTGCACACATTTCCAATCATTCTCATTTCACAACTCCAAATCCATTTTCATAAGTGAAAGAATATCAAATTCTTGCTACTTATAGAATATGCTAGATTCTAACATCCTATGCAATGATTCTTTCGTAATGTCACTGCACCAAAGTCACAAAGACTATTGTCAATGATATTACAAAGTCCTCTATCGGAGATTGTTACAAGACAATTCCTTAGATATGATGTCTCTCACTCAAAGTATATTTCTTTGAACATCCTTTTGCATAAAAGTTTCTAATCTAGACATAGATTTTCAATATTTACTTCCTAATATGAACACGCTTCCATATTTTCCTCATGACAACTCATTCTTAATAGAATCTTTTCTATTTTTAATGATGTCGATATGGTCCATCCAATATGGAAACATTTCCATATTTTCCAATACTATACTTCCAACTACTCACAAGCAACCAATCCTCGTCGAACTTAGGATTGTCCTTTGATAGTTGTTTAATTATTTTAGTCAAAACCAATTCTAGTCCCTTTTCCCTCTAAATGCGCTAGACATTTGGAAAATTTTAGAATGGTCAAACATTAAAGCATTTGCAATCGATCCTATACCCGAAGCGTATGGGACACGACGCATAATGTTTTATTTGCTATGTTCTCAAAATTCGAATTGCGAAGAGAAATGCCGTAATCATAATCGAAATTTTAAGAACACACTATGTACCTTTGACTAAATCTATTAACGTTTCACAACCTAATCCTTTAGATTTGAAATGAAGTATAATATTCTCTCCCTTAATTATAGCAAAACAACTTTACAACCCTTACGACTTTGCAAGGTATAACTCTTGTTTTTCTATAATTAATATTGCCAACTTGCAATACTTTCCATAATAATCATACAATCATAACTTTTATACTCCCACTATCATGATGATTACTATAAAACATAACACTTATGATCCCAGTAGCTTCGACACGTATTCATAAACATCTTAACTTTCAGAAAGATAATACCTATTGAATTTCTTAAGTCCATGTTTCTGATACTTAGTGCTTTGATAATCTTTTATCAAGGCTTCTTGAACTTATACACCTTTTTCTTAGATAGTTCATATGTGTGTCTTAAACAATTAAGACTAATTGCCAAACCTCACAATTCAACACATGGAAAGGGATACCGTAACCATAATCGAATTCGAGAATGCAATTTTACAATCACTATCTTCTTAAAATCTTTCTTAGTGAAAGCATTTCCTCACAATCATTTTCATGAAGGAGGAAATCTTATGACACTTAGATTTAAATGGTGTATCTGTTCCTATCCATGTGAATTTGTTAAAACCAAAGTTTACGACAAATTCAAACTCATATGGACCGAGCCTTTTTTAATCTTGATTTCTTGCCTTATGGTAGCACAGCTGCCCACCACGTCTTCCAAGTAGTTAAGCATCTCACCCTTTTCCTATCAATGTACCTTTCATTGATCAAGGTGCTTTGCCTTTTATGCGTTCAAAATGAGTACTCATAGGACGCATAAAAGGGTTTGCAAACCATAATCTCGAAAAAAACTAGCCTCCTAGGGTTTATTGGCAATAAACCCTAATATATCAAGTTCATACAATTGAAACCAAACCAATGGCTCTGATACCACTGATGGGTTTTGGTCATAAGACATCCTATGTGCTCATACAAACCCTAATGCTTGGATCTAGGTTTATCTATTGTACATGCTTTGAATCCAAAACTATAAACCCTAATTCTAGCATATGGAAATCGATATTAACATATAATTAGGTTTAAGATATTACCTTGATTGTTATGTAGCAATAACAATCCTAATTCCTCCTTGAATTGACTTTGGAAGGCTTAGAGTCACAAGTGTCACTCCTCTAATGGCTTACAAACACCAAGAGCAAATGGAGAAGGTTTAAAGAGAGAGGAGAGAGGTAGAAATTCGTCCTTAGGACTTCTTGGGAAGGGATACACGAATTCATGAGCCAAGGGGTGTTTATATAGGTGTTCAGATACAGTTTCAGTCATTATCCTTATCTAGTTGCTTGCTTACCAAGCAACCCATAAGATAATCCTTGAATCCTTTTCATGGTCGAATTCTAAGGCATTATCACCTTAAATTCGTCCATCCTATAATTAGGATAATCCTTACCTTATTTGTAACTATCACATAATTACAAATCAGCCCCTCTAGTTTAATTAATTACACTTGATCACAAAATTAATTCCCAATTAATTATTAACCAATATTAATTAAACAAATATGATTTCTCCTTTAATATATTATTTTTATAACATATTAATAAATCATAATAACCTCTCTCTCTATTTATTTCTCCAATCAAGTTGCTTTGGTGAAGGCAACCCTAAATGACCATGCACCATCGGGTCAAGTACATACCAAAATATTTTTTGATACATTGCTTATGATTTCTATATGAGGTTTATTGACTATGGTTTTATCATTAAATTAAATGAAATTTTCAGACTGTGTTTCTGGGATGTTACACAACTCCAAATCATGAGTAGGCTATCCCATCTTGTGCGGCTTCAACTGTTTAGACGTGTAGGATATCACTCGTCCTCTCTACATGAGGACCGCCCCCAGTCTCGTGATGGATGCGTTACAGAGCACCACAAAATCATCGACTCTCTCCGGAAGAGTCAATACTGGAGCCTCGTATAAATGTTGTTGGAGGGTCTCAAACGCCATCTACTGCTCGGGGCCCCATTGGAAACCCACCCCCTTCCTCGTCAGACGAGTGAGGGGTATTGTAATCTTGGAGAAATCATGTATGAACCTCATGTAGTATCCTGCCAATCCGAGAAAGCTCCTGATATCCGAGGGAGACTTCGGAACCTCCCACTGCTTAACCGCCTCGATTTTGGCCGGATCGACCAAAATCCCCTCCTAGTTAACAAGGTATCCAAGGAACCGAACCTCTCGTAACCAAAACTCGCACTTTGAGAACTTAGTATATAGTCGTTTTCACCTCAAAACTCCCAATAACTCCTATAGATGATCCTCATGTTGCTCTCGGATCTTAGAGTATACCAATGATATCGTCTATGAATACGATGATCGAGCGGTCGAGCATCAGTTTGCAGACCCGATTCATCAGGTCCATATATACTGCAGGTGCGTTGGTGAGCCCAAATAGCATCACTACAAACTCATAGTGTCCATAACGTAACGAGTCCGGAACGCTGTCTTCTCTACATCTTCGTACCTAACCCTGACCTGATGGTACCCGGACCTCAGGTCTATCTTGGAGAACCAAGATGCTCCCTGCAACTGATCAAAAAGATCATCTATCCTCGGGAATGGCTAGCAAGTCTTCACTGTTAGCTTGTTCAACTCTCGATAATCAATGCACATCCGATGTGAACCATCCATCTTTCTGACAAAGAGTATCAACGCTCCCCATGGGGAACTGCTCGGACGCATTAACTGCTTGGAGTTGTTTTTGCACTTGGAATTTGGAAATCGATTTTTACACTTGGAAATTGTGGATTATCGGTCGAACTCGAAGAAAAAGATTAGAAGAAGTCGTCAATTGTCGAATGTGAGGACGGACAGAAGGAAAAAAAAAAAAAAAAAAAAAAAAACGAGGTTACATGTTTTTTTTTCTTTTGTGATTCAAGGAATTGAGACTTTCACTCTTTGGTTGTGTTTGGCGCGCCACAGCTAGCTTATTTTTCGAGCTTTTTTATGTTGTTGTGTTTGGTAAGCCAAAAAGTAGCTTATAAGCTAGCTTTTTGAAAAGCTACTTAGACTAGCTTTTTAGGAGCTTTTTTAAAATTTTCCAAATACAACTCTTAATTAATTATAGAAACACATATTCTTACATGTCCTTTTATCTAATTTTATATATTTCAGCTAGCTTTTCAGCTAGTTTTACCAAACGTTATTTTTTATCAGCTAGCTTTTCAGCTATCAGTTAGCTTTTTATTTAACAGCTAGCTTTGCAGCAATCAGCTAGTCCGCCAAACATAGCCTTTGACTTAATTTGACAATTGGATAATTGTTTTATTTGGGCTATTTTCTCCTTTTTTTTTTTTTTTTTTTTTTTCTTTTGGACTAATATTAGGTGGATTAAAATACAAATGTGTTTGGGCTACTAATTATTCGGGCTTAACTGATCCAATGTATTTACATTTTTTTAAAATTTTTTTTTAAGTAGTTGTCATTTTTTTAATAGTTGCCTGTTTTTTGAAGTAATGGCACAAAAGGTAAAAGAAAAAATCAAAAAAAAATTTACGCTCAGATGTTGCCTGTGCAACCTTATGCCCGTCATCAAATCTACCACTGACAATTAAAGACATCAAAACAAAAAGGAAACTAATTTTGAAGTTGTTGACTACTATGTTTAAGTAAAAGATAAAATGTATATTTATGGAAAGATGCTGAATAAAATAATTATTTAATATGTATATTATTTTTCTTTGTAAAGATTGATTAATATATTTTTGTTAGTAGCATCTATTTTAATATAGGAAATAATTTAGGTAATTAGAATATCAAGTTACGTGCATTGATCATTAACAAAATATAAAACCTTCCTTTTTTTAATACGAGAGTGATTACCATTAAAACCTAATGTTTTTACGTAAGTACCAAGTTACAAATAAATTTGAAAAAACCATATACTTTCCTTAATTAATTACCTTCCTATTTGTAATTAGGTTTTCTTGTTCAAAATCAAGAACTACCACTTTTCTCATCTATAATAAAAACCCGATTAGGGTAATTATACATACACAAGTTCACACTCTTATTCTCCTAAGTTCTTGTGGAGATTTCACTGAAATTTTTATTACAGAAACAATGGAAATTACTCCCCAAGATTCAACAACAAAGAGAAAACATGTTCATTCCGCTGCTATGGGATACAACGAGGAGGCTGAGGATGAATATTATCTGAAAAAGATCCAGGAATTAGTAAACGAAAAGATGAAGTTGTTAGCAGAGCAACAAGTTAAAGAAGAATCAAAGCTCAAACCTCCCACTGAGATGATAAACAGTAAGCCGATGGTGATCAGCAAGCGGAGGTTGGAAGAGTTCATCACGAATGAGATGAATGGCAAAGATTTGAAACTCGTGCTCAAGAAAATACTGTATGAAAGTGATCTGAGAAAAAACCAGAACAGGTTGAGTATGCCGATGAATCAACTTGAGAAAAATATTGAGTTCTTGAATGAAAACGAGAAGCAAGATCTGGAGAATGGAAAGGAGTTGGAGGTGGGATTATTGGTGCCAAGATTGATATTGCATAAGAAACCGATGATGATGAAGATGTGGAGATTGAAAAGCACAAGCAGTTATGTGTTGAAGACTAATTGGAATGAGTTTGTGGAAGAAAACAAGAAGGATTTGAAGCCACATTCAGAGATTCAGGTGTGGTCTTTTCGTAAAGACAACCAGCTGTTCTTTGCTCTTTTATGCGTATAGAGAGTTTTTAGTTTATTTATGTTCTTTCATTCAACTTTTTATATTAGATTAATAGAGAGAAGAAGATGGTAATGATGTTATCTGATTGGATATATACTTAATAATCGGAGGTTGTCTATGGATTTAACAATTGAATTTTGATATCAGATTTAAAAAACATGATGTCTGTTAAACTTAAATTTTTTAAGTTTTCCGCTTAAGATTAGGGTAGATTTTGAAATAGAAGTGACGATGCCTGCTGATGCTTCTAATTCAAGTTTATGAATTTTCTTAATTATAACATTATTTTTTTCAATAAGTTGTTATAACATTTTCATAATTTCTTTAATATAATCAATTAAACTTTTTAATGTAATTTTTTGGTATAAATACAACATTTCAATAAAAAAAAAAAGTCTGTATATATTACGACGACAAAAGTGCATCAAGACATTGTTGCCACTACTAGAAACATGGAGTTTTCTTACGGAAAATAGCTACGGAAAATTTCCGTAGCTAATTAGTTACGAAATTGCTACGGATCAGCGACATAATGGGATGCCCAAATTTAATAACGGAATAGCTACGAAATAGCTACAGAATAGCTAGAGATGCTAATCCGTAGCTATTCCGTAGCTAATTAGCTACGGAATGGCTACGGGATACCTACAAATACTATTTAACTACAGATTAGCTACGGAGTATACTTTCTGTTAGAATTCCGTATCTAATCCATAGCTAAGTAGCTACGGATTAGCTACGAATTTTTCTTATTTTTGATTTTTTCGGGCACCAAACGTCGTTTTTTTCGTTTCGTTTGTTTCACACCTCTACTATACATGATTATCTATATTTTCACCAACCTATAGATATTAATATCGTTCATAAAGTCGTGTGCCCCTTCAGGATCAAGTACTCTTTTCACAGTTTAACATTGTAATGCCTATACTTTTCACCAACTTGTGATGAATTATGTTTGTATATGTATATTTATATACATGAATGAGTTGTGGTATATGTGTACGTGTAAATGTGCATGTATATGTGTTTGTAAGATGTATGTGAACGTATTCATGAACATTATAGTGTTAAACCACTAAACGAGCAATGGATCTCTTATGTGCACATATCTTTATAAATGATATTAATAGCTATAAATTGGCGAAAATACAGATAATCATGTATAATAGAGGTGTGAACAAAACGGAACAAAAAAACGGCGTTTGGTGCCCGAAAAATCAAAAATAAGAAAATTCGTAGCAAATCTGTAGTTAATTAGCTACGGAATTCTAACGAAAAGCATATTTCGTAGCTAATCCGTAGGTAATTACCTACGGATTAGCTACGGAATATGTTTTCCGTTAGAATTTCGTAGCTATTTCGTAGCTAATTAGCTATGGATTAGCTACAGATTTTTCTTATTTTTGATTTTTCGGGCACCAAACGTCGTTTTTTTTTCGCTTCGTTTTTTTCACACCTCTATTATATATGATCATCTATATTTTCACCAATTTATAGCTATTAATATCATTTATAAAGTCGTGTATACATACGGGATCCATTGCTCGTTTAGTGGTTTAACACTATAATGCTTATGAATACGTTCACATACATCTAACAAAGTCATATACATCATCATCATCATCATCATCATCATCATCATCACCATCATCACCATCATCATCATCACCACCATCACCACCACCACCACCACCACCACCACCATCATCATCATCATCATCATCACCCTCATCACCATCACCATCATCATCATCACCATCACCATCACCATCATCACCATCACCATCACCACCACCACCACCACCACCACCACCATCACCATCACCATCACCATCACACCATCACCATCATCATCACCATCACCACCACCACTACCACCACCACAACAATCACCATAACCACCACCACCACCAGCATCACCATCACCATCACCATCACTACCACCACCATCATCACCATCACCATCACCATTGCATCATCACCATCATCATCAATATCACACCATCACCATCATCATCACCATCACCATCATCACCATCACACCATCAACATCATCATCACCATCACCATCACCATCACCATCATCACCACCACCACCATCACCATAACCACCTTCACCACAACCACCACCACCACCATCACCATCACCATCACCACCACAACCACCACCATCACCATCACTATCACCATCACCATCACCATCACACCATCACCATTACCATCATCATTATCGTCATCATCATCATCATCAAAAATCACCATCATCATCATCATCACCATCATCATCATCATCTTCATCACCATCACCACCATCACCATCACCATCATCATCATAATCATCATCATCATCATCATCACCGTCACCACCATCACCACCATTACCACCATCATCATCATCATCATCACCTCTACTATCATTATCATCATCATCATCACCATCACCATCATCACCACCACGACCACCACCACCACCACCACCATCATGATCATCATTACCATCATCATTATCACCATCATTATCATCGTCATCATCATCGCTGTCATCATGATCATCATCATCATCCTCATCACCACTACCACCACCACCACCGCCACCGCCACCGTATGATTATAATAATAATAATAATAATAATAATAATAATTAGAATAATAATAAGAATAATATAAAAATCCGAAATGGAAGTGGTTAAAAATAATAGAAGATGAAAGTTCTAAGGATGTAGCATTCCTAGCCAGTTGGTAGTGTTGTTGTTTATTCTTGCAGTTTCCCCGAGTTCGATTCTTACTGTTCCCATTGTTTTTTCATTTTTTTGGCCATTTTTAGTTAATTCAGGGTTTCAGGTTTCACATAAAATATGTCCGCCTCAATTTTAGCAGGCATATGAAATTTTTAATCCCGCTTCCCTCTATCTCCTTTCTTCATTCATTTTCCTCTATCTCCTTTCTTCATTCGTTTCCCTCTTTCTCTTTTACAATTTCCTACTCGATCCTTCCACTCACACCCTCTCTTTCGATCCTTTCTTCTTCATTTTCCATCCGTCGAAGCTTACTCCGTCGGAGTTACTCCTTTCCGTTGTCACTGCAATGTGTACATCGACTTCGTTGTCGTCTACTTGCCGAGTTTACTTCTTTCCGCCACCGCCGGAGTTCTTTCTTTCCTGCTATCATCATCACTGATTCGTCGTCTCTATCATCTGCTTGTCGCTGCCGTCATCTACACCGTTTCAAGTATGTTTCTTTTTGGTTTAATTCCACTTAGGTTTTCGTTTTAGGTTAGGATTCATTTCAATTTAGCTGTGTTTTGATTTAGTGTTTATTTTGAATTTTGATTTATTTTGATTTAGGTTTTGTTTTGATCTAGGCGCGTTCATCCCTTCTCCGTCACCTCTTTTGCTCGATTCTTCTCCAACTAAGGTAAACCCTAGTATCTTTGCCTGGTGCATAGTTTCATAATTATAAGTAAAATGAAACAATTTTTTTTTAAAATTGTCGTTATGTTTAATTTATTTGTTGTACAATTGGACTGTTAGATTTGTTTGGTTATGTATTTGAGGTCATGTGGTCGTGTAAGAAGCCTTGATGATTCTTGCTTATAACAAATGGGTTCTTGTCATAAACGAAACAAAATGGAAACAAATTTACATTTTTGTGCTTTTTCATCTGAACTTTTTATAGTTTATAGATTGTAAATGAGGAACATAAAGAATGCGACGTTTTGACCTAACATGAGGGAGATATAAGCTAATTTTAGTCTATCGACTTTTCTGTTCCTATTAATTCAATTGTTAATATATTATATTAATATTATTTAATACATTTAGATAATTGTAATATTAATATTTTGAAATGACAAAATGATGAATGAGTCAATTATTGTATTGATTCAACTACATGATGAAGGAGTCGATTAGTAGAAGGAAATGTGTTTATTTTTGAGCTAGTTAAATGCAAGATATACATGTTTATTATAACATCTTACTTTCATTTTGTCTTACTTATAACGTTATACTTTCGAAAATGTTCCTAATTACGGCTATATTAAAAAAATAAATGAAAGTACATTACTATATTTGTATTTTTTGTGATCATTGATTATGGTTTGTTAAAACAGGAACAATATGACTCAAATTGAAGAACACTTGACGGCCTTCATCGATTCAAATTCCTCGGTAATTTGCCAAATAATTCACCATATAATTCTTAAATTTATGTATGTAACCATTTAAATAAACATTTGTAGTTGATACTTTTAATGTGTATTATTAGACACATTTAATGTATTATTAGACAATGTTCTTTAGTAATATGTATTTGTATTTGATACCTTTTTAGGTTTATTGTAATGTTATTTGTTTTTTTTTTTTTGTTGAATTTCAATATTATTATTAGTTTAATGTAATGAGTTTTTCCAATATTTTGAACAAAAAAAACTGGATTTTTTTTTATTAATTTTTGCTGTTTTTTTTTTAATTTAAATTAAAAGTAATTACTTACGGAAAATCCGTAGTTAATGTGAGCCGTAGCAATTCCGTAGCTATATATTTCCGTAGCAATTTTGTAGCTATTTTGTTCCGTAGCTATTCCCTAGATATTCATTTTCGTAGTTATTCTGTAGAAAATCCGTAGTTGTTTATTTTCATAGCTATTCCGTAGCTATATTAGCTACGGAAAATTTCGTAGCTATTCCGTAGCGATTCCGTAGCTATTACTTTCCCATGGGCTATAATACTACAGACATTTTTTCGTAGCAATTCCGTAGCTATTTACTTATAGCTACGAAATAGCTAGGGATTGTATTGTAGCTATTACACTAGTTTTCTAGTATTGTGGTGGGTTTCATAAAACTAAATTGTTCGAGCAAGAATCATACAATCTTGGTGGGTTCAAATTATTTGAAACTTCAATAATTAAACGAACAAAAAGACAGGTTTCTGTCTTTCAGACCGGTTTCAAAAAGAATCAAGATAGTAACAAAAAAAATCAGCCCGAAAAAATCAAAA